AATGTTTGAAAATCTGTGACCAGTTTTGCAATGCTATTTTACAGACTCAGGTAATATAAATATGTGCTTAATTATCAGAAACTGAGTATATCAGAATATTTATAAAAATTGTTTCTAAAACTTATTTTTTAAAGAATTATTTAATTTTATTTATTGTTATTATTATTATTTTAATTTGACCAGAGAGAAACAGAGAGAGAGAGAAAGAGAGAGAAAGCGAGAAAGCAAGCCACAAAGCCCAGGACCTGAACCATGGTAAGCCATGTGGAAGTCTAGCACCTTAACCACCTGCCAGACCCACTAAAAATTATTAAGAGCAATAGAAAGTGAAATATTTTAGGAACAAAGAGATAAAAGGGCAAATTTACCTTTTGCCATTGACAATTTGTAATATGGATAGCCTCGTGAATTATAGTTGTTTCTGAATTAGTGGTTATGCCTAAGTTTGCTTATGCTTTTATTTCTAATAATAAAGACTTTAACAGGACCAGCAGATGGCATAATGGTTACATCACTGGATTCCCACATAGTCAACCACAGTTTGAGTCCTGGACCTAGCAGCTTAAAACTCATGGCAGGCACAAGGGTGTGCATGTCCAAAATCCCAAAAGGAGAATGAAGAAGGGACTGTGGCATGGCCAACCCCATAGGGGGGGTGCTTCCATACTTTCTGTCTCTCTCCTGAATGTACAAAACCTATAGCAAAAATCTCTCTTAAAAAAAAAATTCCGGGACCAGCAATTAGTGTAACGGCAATGTCACTGGACTCCCATGTAGTCCACTGTGGTTCGAGTCCCAGACCTGGTGGCTTAAACTCATGCCGGGCACATGTGCGTGTGTGCCCAAAATGCCAAGAGGAGAATGGAGGAGAAAGGATTGAGGCGTGGCCATGCCCCCGGGGCGTGATTTCTCGCTTTCTGTGTCTCTGTCTCTCTCTGTCTTTCTGGTGAGCGCATGCGCCCTATAGCAAAACCTCTCCAAAAACAGAAAAAAATATTTCCAAATTACATAACTACAAATACTAGCAGGGTAAGTTTAATAGTCAATAGAATATATAAATCTGTTGTATGGAGGTTAACACAGCTGGGTCCCACTTGACCAACTGCACAGTTCGAGTCCAGGACTCAGTGGCTTGAAAATCAGCTGAGTGCACATGTATATGTGCTCCAAATCCTGAGAAGAGAATAAAGAAGAAGGAACTGTAGTGTGGCCATCCCCCAGGGGGTGAGATTTCTCACTTTCCCTCTTGCTGTTCTTTCTATCTCTCTCCAGCAAGTACATGTCCCATGGTAAACAACTTAAAAAAAAAAATATATATATATATATATATATATAAACACACACACACACACACACACATATATATAATTGCATGGCATATGAATTATATCTCAATAAAGTAGTTAATGAAAAACAAAACAAAAAATAATTTCCCATACCCTTTTCAAAAACCCCACATTCTGGTCTAACCATTGATCTCCTAAATAATACTTATACTTTAGTTCTTTATAGCCTATACTACAGGATTCTCCAAAAATCAAAGGAATCTTTTCATGATCTTCATTTCTTTTGATCAACTTATTTTGCCAGAAAATACCATTCATTAGTTTAGATTACTTTTTTGTTTTAGGAAGTTGTCTCTGTTTTAACTAAATATTGATATAAAACTATTCAGAAAATTTATACTTCTAAAGCTTTTATTCATTGATACATTAAACTCCCAACTCCTCATTATCATTCTACTGTGACACATAGAGAACTCTTAGAACTGGGGAAAATAGGGGCCGGCAGGAGGTGTTGGTGTTTAAGGTGCTGGATTCCTATTCAACTTCTGAACCTGGTAATTGAAAAGCACATATGCCCAAAATCCTAGAAGAATGGACTGAGGCGTGACGATCCTCCCTCAAGGGTGATTTCTTTTTTATTTTTTGTTTTTAAAGAATTATTTTATTTAATTTTATTTACTATTATTATATGTTTTTCATATTTGACCTAAAAAAGAGGGAGAAGGAGAGGAAGAGGGAGAGGGGGGAAGAGAACGAGAGAGAGGGAAAATGAAAAGGCAAGCTGCTGGGTCCAGGACTCAAACTGCGGTCAGCCATGTGGTAGTCCAGACCTTTAACCACCATGCCACCTGCCAGTCCCAAGGGTGATTTCTTACTTTCCCCCTCTCAGTCTCTTGGCGAGTACACATTCCCTATGGCAAAAACCTCAACAAAAAATTAAATGGGGAAAACAAATTTCAGACTGATGATTCAACTACATCTCCCAGATTCTGACACTTGGCCCACTGATACTTTGAGAGGATACGAGTTGTGTGTAAGACTCTCCTCTTCCCGTACTCCATCCCTGGGATTCACAGGATGAAAATATGTTATTGGTGGGAGTATATAAAATGTGAACACTGTGAAAAGACAATGTGGTTGAGAGACACTCTTCTTACCCAATATTCTGGATTACGGATTAGAAGCATCATATTTAATTACTCCCTTAGTAATACATGAGGGGAAAAAAATTTAGACTGGTGAATCTGAGAAACACATTTTAAATAATAACAAAGAATGTGAACATCCATATACTCAGCCTTTAAAATTTTAAATTTAAATTGATTTAAAACTTGTGAAACACAAACCTTTATGGCAGAACTAGAAGTCTGTTCCCACCAGGCCCTCATACCTGATAGCAGCCAATCCGGCTCCTTCAAAACTCTGAAGAATTAACTATATTAAGAGTCATCATTTTTATGCATTTCATATTTAAACAGCAAATGATATAGATTTAAAAAAAAAAAAACTCACCCAAGTCTATATTAATGCACCTTTCCCTAGACATTTAGTTTTTTGGCCAGGAAAATATCTACTAACTTGGTAATTATACTCCAAATCTCTCTCTTTGACAGAGATAGATCCTTGTCACTGAGGATATTAACATGTCAAATAAAAATGTGACTCTAATGACATAAACCAATGATTTCTATTATTCTGTAGTTGAAACTCTCTTATCCATAATGGCCTATCAATCTAATAAAAAGATTCTTTCTACCAATAAGAATCCTAGAATAAGCCATTATGGTTACTAAAAGTAAATTCTTATAAAAGAAAGATTACAAATGATTTGGTTTTGGGTCATGTAAACTTTCTGTGTGTGAACTTAAACTGTTAAGGTTACCTCTTAATTTTCTTCACGATCTTTATAATATCAATAATTTCAAGGTAAGAAAAAGTTATTATTTCAGAATATTTCACTTGGCAAAACCTTTTAGTTTTATAATTCTTCAGCTCAGAGTTTACAATATAATTTATCTGGAGATTTTCTCAAATATATGGGGATAGATTTAACTATTCATGAGTGACCCAAATTCAAAAACGTTTAATTAATATATATATACACGAACTTCTAAAACTGAGTTTGAGGATTACTCAAAAGAGAGAACTGGGTTTTTTCCCAAAAAAGTTAGCTATCATTTTTCTGAGCTTTTAAAGGAACTGGATCTACTGTAAACAGATGTTAAAAAGCACAGAAGAAACAGACTTTTAGTTCTATAGAGATTTAACATGTCTTTAAAAAACAATCTCAAAAGATACAAAAGAAATCAGTTAGTCAATTTCTACCTGTGGATTTAAAGTGAAATATTTTTAAAAATATCTTTTTCATGTTATTATCTGATAAAGATTTTTAAAATAGATTTCAAACTTAAAATTTCAGAAAAGATATTCAGTAATTTAAAAACTTTGTGAATGTAAAGTCAACCAGATTATCTTATCAATTTGATCTCTAAAAAATACACTAATTCACAATTAAATCCACAGAAACTGTTAGAAAATACCTGGCTACACATGAACAGTGAGCAGGGCTGATAAGGTTCTTTGCCATATTTAAAGTTTTCCTGCTCTTGGCCAGGAAAGCTTCATATTACACTATATAACTTGGGGATAATTGGTATATAAGGTTAATGGTACATAAGTTAATACATAAGGGGAAAATATCTGAAGTTATACCATAGTATCAATATCCTCAATTTAAATTAGAACCTTCAGCTTCACTGTTCTCTCTTTGAAACTAAAAGAATTTAATGAAAACAATGCTCTGAAACACTTTACATATCATTTAAAAAGTGAAAGGTATCTTATAATGTAAGAAGCCTCTAATTAGAATGATAGATAAAAACTTCAGCATACATACAATGTTTTCCTTTTCTAAAGTAAATAATATATCAACCCAACTAAAAAGAATTAAGTTGGGCAAATGAATAGTGTGGAAAGCATTCATATTAATTGATTGCTAATCAAGAATTTTTTCTATTAGCTTATCTGTAAAACTTTTATGCTAATTAAAAATAAAAATTTGAACCAATTTATGTAATTATAAAGTGTATGATTTGAGGGCTGAGTAAAAATAAACTTGATAAATTTCAAACACTACTTTCCATACTTTCTCACTGATAAAAGAAAATGTCTTAATATTAGATTCAAATTTTCCATTACTTTTACGAGTTTAAATAAATATAAAATCATACACATTTTTAAATATAGGAAAAAGGTTACAGTAACATGGACAGATAAGAGACTTGAGTACTTTGTGTTCTTTTTCAGATCATACAAAACAAAATGTTTTCTTCCTGAGCAAGTCTTTAAAAATAATTATTAAATAGAATTTAAATATAATGTTCTATCCATGGCTTAGTATTTAACCTTTTTATGTAGTCAACAAAATAGCTTTAACTGGATCCCATATTTGAAGACAAGGCCTATTTTAGGAGATGGCACTTGCCAATGTAAATATCTTATTAATAATAAATGTTTATTAGTAATGTTTTATTAAATAATAATTACACTGAGTAAACTAAATCGAAGGATTTTTAAGGTTAAAAATATGTGTTTTAAAAGCTCCTAAGACATACCCTCAAATCACACCCTTTGTCATAGGCACATTGCCAGCACTGTTCATGTTGGCCAGCTAATACCCTAGTTTTCTTTAGTAAAGTAAAATGAAATGCATACCAGCAGCAACTACAGCTGGAGGAGGCGAGCCTGCCTCACCACCACTTGTTTGACTCATTGATGCTACAGATGTTTCTCTAGACGGAGGTAACTGTAACTCCTTTGGGAGAAGATCATAGACAGATTCTGTAAGGCAGAAACAGGAGGAGAAAATATGCTTTTTAAAAAGAGTCAGTCAATAACCTAATTATTACATGTATACAAAATGTCCTTTCTCTTAAAAGAGCTATTATTCACAAAAATTAATCCCATGTGATTAATGTGATAAAGAGTTATTAGCAAGTGTTTTTCTTTATTACAGTTTTATTTTTAGGTTTATTTATTTACTTCCTTTATGAGAGAAGAAAGACAGGCCCCCTCAACAGAGTGTCACACTATACTCCTTCCCCAAGTCTTCCAGCCAACCAGAATCACAAGTGCCAAGACTGCACATGTTTACCCAAACACGTGGGTAAAAAAACAAAACTCCATCTTCCATATGGATCAAGCACTGCTGAGGACTGTGCCACAGTGGCTAGCTTAATGTAGTTTTATTGAACTGAAGAAAAAAATTGGTTCTGCCCTGTTGTTTTTTTTTTCCCTTGGTTTTATTCCTCATGATCAATACAGTGTATAGAAAAAAATATTAAGTTTTAAAACTGGACAAAACTAGACAGGATAGAAGAAAAGTCAAATAACCCAAGATAATCCAATATCTTCAAACTGTAATTTACCATCCTTATATAAGAGACAGCATGCAAAAGTATATACATTATCAGCCTTAACTTGGATTCTCCAATTAGTCCATTAGTATAGTTCTGCTCTTTTAACCCAATATCCTTTAGTAAATATTTTAATTCAATGCTATCACATTCATTTTTCCCTCCTAAGAAAGCTTTAAAAATGTTGAAAACCCAGGCCCACTTCCACATGGATCGTGAACTTCAGCTGTGAACTAGTGCTTTCAGAGACTTAAAATGAAGATTTTCTGCTGAGACTTTTTCCTCATTTATTTTTACCTCTGCTCACTAAGTGTCTAGACAGGCCTAAATGAACAGAATCTATACATCTGAATACAGTTAGGGTCAGAATATTCCTCTATTCCCACTGATTCTGATGCACAAAGAGTGAGAACAGAACGGAAGAGAGATTGCAGATCTCCTCCTCCTGCACGCCTCTGAACACTGAGACTGAACTTCAAGAATTAGAAGAAACGCACCATCTATCTCGACTAGAAATCACTACAGGGTCACAAGAAATATGGAAAAACAAGAAAATACCTCTCCTCCAAGGAAAAGTAAGTCCTCTTCATTCCCAGACAGTATGATGAAATTCATGGAAATGTCTGATAAAGAATTTACAATTTCCATGTTGACAAAGCTCACAGAGATTGAAGAGAAGAGAGACAATGAATGGCCGAAGAGGCAGGGGAAAGAAGCTGACGCGCTTCAGGGGGTGAGGAAATTCTTGCAAGATCTAAAAGAGGAAATACACACTTTAAAAAAGAATGAGATGGACCTGTTAGAGATGAAGACTGTAATACAGGAAGTCAAAATCTACCTTGAAAGTATTCAAAGCAGACTAGATTACACTGAAAATCGAATCTCAGTTGCAGAAGACAGAATTACTGACCTAGAAAAATCCACCATGAAGACTGAGGAAATTGTCCAAAAACATGAGAATATTATACGAGAAATACTAGATACCATCAAACGTCCAAACATCCGGATAACTGGTATCCCAGAAGGGGAAGAGACCCCCTTCCAATCTATTGCATCAAATCTATTCCATCAAATCCTGCAAGAAAACTTTCCAAACCTAGAGAAGCATTCAAAGATTCAGTCCCAAGATATACAAAGGACCCCAAATAGAATCAACCCAAGAAGATCTTCTCCAAGACACATTATAGTCAGATTGAGGAAAACCACAGACAAAGACAAGATACTAAGATTGTCAAGAGACAAAAGGCAAGTTACCTACAAAGGATATCCCATCAGGTTGACAGAGGATCTCTCATCGGAAACAATGCAAGTGAGGAAAGAATGGGAAAATATATTCAAAGTGTTAAGGGAAAAGCAATCGCAACCAGATACTATACCCAGCAAGATTATCCTTCCTACGGGAAGAAAAGACAAGAACATTCTCAGATAAATAAAATCTGAAAGAATTTACCAACACCAGACCAGATCTCCAAGAAATTCTGCAGGGAGTGCTATACCAGGAAAATTAAATACAGTCATACAGAAATAAGACTTCAAAAATTAAGAAAATGGCCAACATAATTGTGGGGACAAGTCTGGAGTTAAATATTATATCCCAGAATTTAATTGGGAAAATTGAATCACAACAAAAGATAAAATACATGAGAGACTGAACTGATGAAACAGAATTTTATTTTATTTTATTTTTTTACCATGAATCAAATTTCCCCAAAAGGGGAATTTTATTGATTACTCTATTCCCTTACAAATAGACCAACTATATTCAAATGAGGTGAACATTCACCTCAAGATTTTGTCATCTTCATAACAGAAAAGATGAGGCTTAGAACTGGATCACTTGACCCTTTCTCTTATCTCCTCCTAGTTCAAAATGCTTACATCTCTTTTTTTTTTAATTTAAGTTTATTTATTTATATTCATTCACTGTACATCATTACAGCATACAAACTGAGGTTTTCCATAAAGAGTACACTGTATATTGCTCAATCTTTTAATAGCCAGCATTCTCTTAGATCTGCAGTTGGGCTCAACACATTCAAGCCTCAGCACAATCTTCTTTGTAGTTTTTGCCTTTTTCTAGAAAACAGGCCTAGTCTGTCCACCATAGCCATTCTGCTTCCTGTCATAATGCCGCTTTCCCTGAGCATACAGAGAATCCTATGTCACTTTATGAGGTTGGTGCTTGCCACATTTCTTTCTTTCTTTTTTTTTTTTTTAATTTTTGGAGAGGTTTTTGCTATAGGGCGCGTGCGCTCGCCAGACAGACAGAGAGAGACATAGAGACAGAAAGCGAGAAATC